ATTCCAGAAGGCAAGACCTTCTAGACAGCACTCCTGTCAAGGTAGAGCGACTCTGTGCTGTAAATCTCACCTACCACTAGAAAAGCACATTCAATACTGTCATTCACAGTTGTGTGATTTCAAGGCTAATTAAGCCTATTCAATGTTTTGAGTCTGCTTAAATACATTAGTGGGATTCTTCTAGCTTCTGCAGTTTGCCAGCACTTTCTGCTCAAACTGTCTCAGAATGTCTATGGTATATGCAAGTTTACACTGAATGAATGGCTATAAATTATAGCAGGATTACTCTGCCGTTTGAGAGAACATCCACCTGAGATGAGGTCAACAACCTTGTAGGTAACCAAATCATCATACCTTAAGAGGGCAAATGAAAAAAACTGAAAAATCCATAAAAAAAAACATTATCACTTAATTTTGAGTTCTTGCATTTGATTGTGATTTTTATCTCTATATATATTTTGAAAATACAGCTAATTTTCTAGAAGTTAACTTTGATTATGTACCGCAAAATATTACTTTATGAACTGCCTTATTAATGCTCTGAGGTAAATTTATTCTGTATTTGGGGACTGTACTGCCATAACTGACTTCTATTTCTTAACTTGTTAGGCAGTCAGGGGAGAAGCTCATCTCCAGTGTCATCAAAGAAGATTACGTTCAAGAGCTTTGTTCAGTTAATTATCAGCACAGCTTTGCATTCATTTCCTCATAATGTGGTTTTACCTACAGGGCTGACATTTATTTCCTAACAAGCTAGTACCTGAGTATGATGGCAGCAAGAAGAGCACCTTTCAATAGCAAGATTTCCTAGTAAGAAGCACTTACCTAGAGGTAACAAAAAAACCTAGGGGCTTATGCATCACGTGCCAGTGCTGTGGTAAGAGAGCTGTTCAGCCCCTCTGCCTTGGCTCGGACTATAAATGCCCTCACACAATTTTACAGTGCACTGTGCTCCTCTGTCATGGTGCTGTGAGGGGTAAATTGGTCAATTGCCACTGTTCCTTGTAAAGAGTTCTGCTGCTGTTTATCACAGCCTACTCCTAAATGCTCAAAGCTGCATTATGCCAGCATTACATATATTATTTATTAGCTAATAGATTGTTGTTCTGACTCTCTTACCAGTGCCAGCAGTGATGCTACTGACAACTCTTTATAGTTATCCAGAGAAGGAATAGGGATGTACAGAATCCGGACACCTAAGTCACAGCTGATCTATCATTATGGCTAAATATAGATTTCCTGCATTAGGAACAAAAAAATTAAAACCCCCACTGATTTCAGTGGCCTGAGACTTTTATTGTTTCCCTATAATTCATACCATAATTCACAACAAAGTGTGTTCAAAATAATATTCTTTGTTTTCTGATTATGTAGTTACCATCATCATACTTTCATGTTGATGAAAAAAAGGAGTTTAAGACACTCATCTTTAAGAAATTTGCACAGCAAACAAGTAAAAACTTAGGAAGATGCCAATGCGTGACTTGCGCTGAAATTTCTGCAGATGCTGTAGCAAGCACCGGGATGGACAAAAGGCAAAATAGCCATTGCTGTCCTTCCAGATTTTTATGAAGAATACAAGCAGGTTTAAGCCAAATAGATTTTAAGTATCTTTACTGATGCATGCCCTCCTGAGGCTTTTATGGTATGTAGTGGTCTGGGAAGCTATACTGGGACTAACTTTGTACGGTAACCAAGATAAGAAACCTCCAAGTTCTGTTCAATAAACACTTGAGTTGTTAAGCTTCTCTGATAACTTTTTTTTTTTTTAAATTTATCCATATATATGCATTTTACTGAGACTTTATTTGAGCATGACTGAGCAATGTATATGTAATAGCATGCAATATGATACCTCTGATTGTATAATAGTGAAGAAAAAATTTAAAATAATGAAATTCTTTCCATATCTTTTCCATATAGCCAGAGAATTATGGATTAAAAAACATATGAAGCTACGAGATTGCACAAAAATATACATTTAGGATAACATCTACTCTGTAATGTCCTAATCAATTTCTTTGCACATTATTCCATATAACACTGTTGCACATCTTAGAAGATCTCTGCAATTTAATATTGGCAAATTTATTTTGGCTTGAAGTTAATATTCCTGTTACAAAGTAAACACACATTTCTCCCTACTAAAATGTGAGTTAAAATAACCTATTTCAATGATTAATTATAAAATACAAGAAAACAAATACCCAGTTCCACTTCTCCAGCAATAATCACAACAAAAAGATGCCCACTACAGATGGGAAATCAAAAGTATTTTCTCTTGGGGTGGTCATATCCTATGACTAGAAACAGAACAAAGTAAACTACAGCCTGTTTTTTATCATGCATCCATTATAATGTTTATCTTATAGTCTTGCTTAATATCAATGTTTATTTTATATTTATTTTATATTTATGTTTATAATTTTCAGACACTTCTTAGGTAAAAAACTCTAATTCCTAAAGATGATAAAAACTTACTGTAGCAATATTAGACAAACATGTATAGTCCTTTCAGAGGCAATCATTGCTTAATTCCAAGAGCTGTGAGCATTGCTGGGTCAGAAGACATTATGCAATAACATGACGAATTATTAGAATTGACCCCTGAAAACATCCAAAGATTCATTTTTACACTGCATGTATGTCTACTCTGATGAAACTGGTGTCCAACTTTAAGTGCTTCTCTCTCTGGCTTCCATCTCTTCCTGTGGACAACAGCAGAGTACTGTTCTACCAGTACTCTGGTAGAACAGACACCTTCAGGAGGGTCTGCAGTGGAATCCCACTGCACTGACATACTTCCAGTCACTGCCCCCTTCACCAGATATCTCAGCTTGCATTCCTCCTCTGAGCTGAGACCAGACAAACCTTCCCCAATGTGCTGTTTATATCATGACAGACGGAGTAAAACACTGACTGAAAAAATAATCCTTCAGCAGGTAGCTTTAAATACAGCAGCACCATGGAATATATTTTACCTGCACATGTGGTTACATGAAGTTCAAGGAAGTCACATAAGATCAAGATGTTTTGCTAAAAGTGACAGTAGCAAACTTTGGCAAAATCCCAACTGTTGGCAAGAAAGCTATTGCAAATCTTGACCTCTCACCTTGCTTTGAATGGCAAGCCAGAATTTGCCAATTAACTTTCACTTAGAAAAAAAAAAAAAAGCTGAGTATGAATAAATATATGTGATATGGCATTGTTAAGGCAATGGGACATTTCAAAATGGTGAAGCAAATGGAAATGCTCAGGCTGAAGCATGCTGCTCTGAACAGCACCTCTCCCTCATCTCAAGCTGAAGATGTTTTACTTTCTGCATACATCTGAGTGAGGGCAACCTGCTGAGCTCCAGCAACATCATCCAGCTGAGAAAGGAGGCAAGAGAAATTTGAATGCTGTAGTATGAGCTGCCTGCAGAAGCACTCATTGGAAAAAAAAAAATTACAACAAGCCAGCTGCAAGTTCCACTAATGCTGAACAAAGTGAGAGTTTATCAGTTGTATCAGATTTATCAGTTGTTTGAACAGAATAGACAGAGGTGCTAAGAACCAGAAACAAACTATTTTTTTTTTTTCTGTACTGCATCTTATCTCTCTGGGAAAGACTCCAGAGTTTTGCTAGCACATCTTGTTGATCAGAGAACAAACAAATCCCATAAGTGGCATGTACTCACTGACCCTGCTCCCCTGAAAGTTTCTACTAAAACTCCCTGGAGGATCGTGTCCCAGGCTTGGTGGAATGTTCCGTTTTGCAGACCTTGCCCAGCCTCTAAGGCTTGGTGCTAGCTCTGCTCTAAGTTGGACAGACTCACCAGCTGAGCAAACTTGAACTCTAGGTGTTTTTAATGGAAAATGTTACCAGACAGGCTTTTCCCCCTCCCAAGGCTGCCTAGTCTCTCTGCTATTCTTCTAAACCAATCCTGGCTTCTCCTCAGAGCTACAGGACAGAGTCACTGAAATCCTTCACTTAGGTGTCCTTTTAATAGCAATGTCCTGATGATTATGTATTTGCTAAGGAACGTTGTCTCCACCTGATGCTATAGACACTTCCCTTCTTACACAAACATTGAAAAAGTGACAATTGTGGCACTGTTGCTAGAGTCAGTCTTTTCTGCACTGGATTAAAATGCCCAAGAAGCTGCATATATAACTGCCTATTGTATCCTAATCATTATGTAACTTGAATTGAATAAAGTCCAAACCATGCTATAAATATGGACAGTACATACATCGGGTATAAACAAAGGTCTACCTTCACCCAGGCAGTGAAATTCTGATAGAAGAAACACACTGAATGAATGGTTTGTAGAAGCCATGTAGCCAATGAACATGCCTATTTATAATGGCATTTTGGTTTTTTAATTCAGGAGCCAACATGCTACCTACCTACAGAAAGCATATATGACAGTGTATTTTAGACTACCACAATGCTACATGTATTTTCTTCCGTAGAGGAGATTTTTCAGTCCCCGGGTAGATGGGCTAATTCCAACGACAGTTACCGAGAAGGCTGAGGTTTTCTATCATCAGGTTTCCACAAGCACTATTAGAGCATCGGAAACAAATGACGAGCCTTTATCGGTGGAGCTCACCCACGGCAGGAGGCAGAATACTACGAAATGTCATTCCCTCCCTCCCTTTAGCAGCTCTGAAGGAACAAAAATACGAGCCACGGTTTCCAAAGCGCTCCAGGGTGAGGGTTCTATTATCCTGCCTCAGACCGATCCAGGCAGCCGGGGAGAGCACCCGGCGTCCGTCCCGCCCCGCCGATCATGCCCCCTCCCCAGGGGCGCTCCCCAGCGCCCGGGGCACCCCGGGGCTCCCCGCGGGAGCGCCGCGCTCCCGGCCGGCCCGGGCGCTCCCGGACAGCAGGCAGCTCTCGCCTCCCCTGACAGTCCCATCAGGGCGGCAGCCGGGGATGACTCGTGCTCTCAAATAAATACAAATAAAAGCGAAAAGCAGCTCTCGGCGGAAGAGGGATGCCCTCCTGCTTACCTTGCTCCGCGGGCGCTCGGGGCGCCGCCGGGGGCTGCAGGAGGGATTCCCCAGCGCTGGCAGGGGCTGCTCGGGCTTCCCCGGGCACTGCGCGGCCGCCAAAGCCACGGCGAGGGATTTGTTTTGGTCGCTCCTTCCCGGGGAGGGTTTTCCTCTACATTCCCGGCTCCACATCACCGCCTCTCCCTGCACGGAGAGGGCTGGGGGTGGAAAAACCGCGGCAAAGGCATCTCCCTCCTACCCCCGGAGATGAAAAGCCGGCGGAGCAGCCGCCCGGCGAGCGGCTGGGGTGTCGGGCGGAGGATGGGGGGGGGCGAGGGGGGATAAGAGCCGAGCCCTCGCTGCCCTCGCCCCGCTGTAATCCCCGGCTGCATGCGAGCCGCCGGCTGCCGGCGCGGCCGCCCGTGTCTGCGGCTGTGCGCGGCGGCGGCGGCGGCGGCGGGGCGGGGGGGCACGGCCGCTCCCGGCCGGGGCACGCGGGGCGCCCCCCGGCCCCCGCCCGGCCGCGCTCCCGAGCGCCGCGCCCGCGCCCGCTCCGCGCCTGCGGCCCGCGCTGGGGCTGCGCGCACCCGCGCTGCCCCCGCCCCCTGCCCCCAGACAAAGGGGGACATCCCCCCGCACCCTGCCCGGGCTGGGGATGCCCGCCGCACACGCAGACAGCAGCCACGCGCAGACACCGCGCCACTGCCACGGGCGGGTGCGCGCACTCACTCGCACTCACTCACACGCACACACAGACACACACTCCTGCACATGCAGGGACACACACAGCCCACACTGACCCCCGGGAAGGGGATGTGCGCACACGCACACACACAGCCCACGCCAAGGGCACACTCCGGGCAGGGGATTCCCCTCTCACACACGGGTGAATCCACGTTAACCTCCCTACGGATGGGACGCGCGCTCCTCTCAGAGCTCCCCACACACCGTCCTCCCAGATAGGGAATGTCCAGGCTTGCACATAAACACAAACACACCGCACATACACACGCGCTTACATGTACTGTCCCCTCCCATGCACATAGACATACGCCACCTTCTCCTGCTCAAGAGTGCATCCACAGCATCCCTTCCAGGAAAAGCCAGGGCAGGGCACAGGCACACAACACACAGCAAAGGACTGTACCTGGCTGATGACCTGGCCGACCCAGCCTTGCTATTGACATGTTGAGGGCCTGCCGAGGGCTGAATCCGCAGCAGAATAACCGTGCCTGGAGAGCCAGGACCCTTCATGGGGCAGGGACTAATGCATTTTTGTCATCAAGTCTTGGCAAGGTAGCAGGCTGCAATCAAGACTTCAGCTAGTCCTGCTGCTTCCCATAGTATTTTATAGCTCTTTATTGTTTTTCCTTCATCATTCCTGATAATGGGAGGAAGTCTCTTTCCCTCATTCATTAATGCCCCACTATATTTCAGGTATCAGATTAGAAAGCTTTTTTTCCTTTTCAAGCTCTTCTCTCTTTCTCAGGTTTCATAACACTTCATCTGTAGCTTTGCCCTCTGCATTGTGTTGCTCAGGCTTCATCTCATCCTATAGCTCTGAGATTCAGCCTTAACTGTTGCACATTTTGCTGCTGGGGTGAAGACTTTCCAATAAAACTTTTATCAGCTTCCTTTTTTTTTTTTTTTTTTTTTTTTTTTTTTTTTTTTTTTTTGTAATTCAAAGGCCTCCTAATTCTTTTGAAAGCTATCCAAGAAAGAGATTGGGCAGTATTTGCCAACATGATTTTAATTACAACCCACCAAAAATAGGTTAAACTTTGAATGCTCATTTACTGTGCTAATTTTCACCCATTTTATGTAGTTCCTTGCCCACTGTCTTGGTGATATATAAATGTAGGATTTTTTAAAAAGTTTTCTCACCTTCTCCCAGCCTACCTGCAGAAGTTTTCTGAATGGCAACCACAGCAGTAGTCCTAGTCAGTGATGAGTTCAAGGCTAGTTTTCTATGAAAAGCTCCAGCAGAATGTACTTTGTCTGAAACCTGGACATCTATGGCATAGGCATCCATGCTTGTGCTGCTCAGCCTAGTCTTACCCTTATGGTCAGTCAGGGAAATTCTCTTCCATCTCTTCCATGTGATAAACAAAGCTCCATAGCAACCCATTCCTCTACTCAACTACTCCCCAGCTGAAATGTTGGTATCTATGTATTTCATATGTTCCACTTCTTCTGTGTACACATGTCCATGTGTCTCATCACTAATTTTTGAATGCACTAATCAGTTTCAGCTGAGCAAAACTCTCAAAAGACAATTAAATTACAACAAGTTTAAGAAAAAGAAGGCAGGTAGAGAAAAAAGCTAACTGCATACCTCTTTGTGCTTAGAGCATGGCAAAGGTGACGTTAGGAGTTCATGTCCTGTTACATACCTCAGAATCTGCATGTACCTTTGACATCAGTGAGAAAAGTTAACTGAAGCATTTGTCTTCTTAGCCACTGTAGTTCAGTAAAACCCATGAGGCAGAGCCATAGGAAACTGGAGTTCATTCCTTAAGATTCTCATTAAATAATAGGTTGTGAAGAGCTCCAGTTCTCCTCTACTGCTTTTCATGATGCAGCGAGTGGTTTTGAAGCAGACTGTGTTTTCTTGAGATATTATTACTTGATTTTTCACTTTTGATAAAGGAAGACTGTCTTATCTCCCCCTCATATACACAGCCCCAGACACTAATAAGTCTTGCTTATTGGGAAAACCGACAGAAAGTGCAGTTCAGAGGTGAGTTCCTACAGTTCATTGGCTACAGTGGTATGCATGCTGTGTAGACACTGGTCTAGAATAAGAACTGATCTGCTTTCAAGAAGGAGACGTTATTCTGGAATAAAAAGCTCCTTATTTTGCTAGTAAGTCCACAGTAAAAGCAATTTTGTTCTGAGAAATTATTTTTGCACATAGAGGTACATTATCCTGCCTAGACTCATGTTTACACCACTGCATTTTTGTTATTCAATTTTCCTTCATAAACAAATGCTAGCAGTTCTTGGCTCACTCCTTTTCTAGGCTTGGGGTGTTTATGTTTATGAACACTCATCTTCTGCTTTTACCGGCATGCTTGGATGTTGAAGAGAAGTCTTTGTTGGTTCTCTAGTTACCAGAAATAAAGTACAAAATGTCTGGCCATGCTGATGAACAGTGTCTTTCAGATCATGTGGGAAAGATTTCCTTTAGAGGAGTTTAGTCTCAGCTGGTCAGATAAGGGGAAGAAAGAAACAGCTTGAGAGAAAGAGAAATCTCTTTTCTACCAATATTTCTGCTGCAAGATTTTTCCCCATCATTACAGCAATGTTCTTCAAAATACCTTTCATCCATCAAGACCACCCTTGTAAACATCCTGGACCTCTTCCTTCTGACTTAACACTCAATTTACATAGATGAGCCTGCTAGGTCTCTGAGGCATTGCTTCCCAAACACTTCCCAGCAGTGAGAGGAAGGAGGAAATGTGCCTGTTTAGGGGAAGGCACGGATGGATAAACATAGGCAGACATGTGGAAAAGTATGGCTAAGTCTTGCTATGACCAGGAGGATCATTCAAACTCACAGTCTAAATCTTGCTAGAAATTATTGTCTTCTCTACTGCTGAACATCTTGACCATACCAGTGAACTCATGTGATCCATCATTTGCTTGCTTTTGAAGGAAAAAGAGTTTGTCAGGGCCTTGAAGGCACAACCAGGACTGCTGGTCCTGACCCACTTGCTCTGAAGACTTCCCAATCCCTGTCTATAGTCCAGGACACCATTTCAGCTCAACACAGTGCTTTCAGTCCCTGCCTCTGAGACACTTCCCTGTGGAGAAGGGAATAATCTACTTAAAGACTAGTTTAATGGCTATTCCTTACTTGTAGGAGCAGATACATTAAGAACCAACAACAGGAGGACTTCTGTAATCAGCATCAAAGTCGGCCTGTCTAAATAAATGGTTGATCCTTTTCCTGAGTGTAATCATTTCAGTTATTGCAATACTGAAATATAATGTCAGACAGTTTCGAAATGTATCTTAATTTCCCAGCAGTGTGTCTAACAAACTGCAAAAATAAGTTCTAGGAGAAGAGTGAACCCCATCCCTGTGCCCTCTGTATCACTCAAGACTTGCAGAAAAAACAAGACAAACAAAAGCAGCTTCTTGGCCAAGTCCAATATTCTCTTGAAATAAATCACATTAGGAATAGCATCTGGCAGTAGCATAACCCACCACAGTTCAGACCAAGTTTCATCTGGATTAGGGACTTCCTGATTATTGGAATAACTTTCCATGCTTCCTATTGAGTGGTTGGGGTTTGTACTGCTTTTTCCCCTCCTTTTTTATTTAAGTTTTGGTTTCCTTTATCTTATTTCTCTAACACAAAATAATGCTGTCTATTCTTGTTGCCACAGATTGCTCAGACACTTTTTCTTGGCTGCTAGAGGGCTCCTGGAAATGTTTTCAATCCTTCCATAGAGTGCAGTGGGACAGCAGTCTCACTAGTGTTTAAAGGCTGCCTTGTGGACACAGCCAGGAATGATATGCTGCTGCACACAGGGACAATAGTGGCAGCTTTTCCCTCTCTAATGCATTAAATGGAAACTTACAGAGCTGGGTATCCCAAAACCAGCAACAGAGATGAGCAAGAGCATAGCCAGGAAGGACAGATCATGGTTGTCTAACAAGCCATAACTTGGATGGGTTTGAGGGAAGTTTTTTGTCTGTTCATAAAAATTGTTCATTGTTCTTTTCTTCTCTAGGTGGATATTTTGGGTTTTTTTGTTTGTTTTTGGGTTTTTGTTTTGTTTTGTTTTGGGGGGGAGATGTTTGGGTATTTTTTGGTGGTTTTTTGTTTTGTTTTGTTTGGTTGTTTGGTTTGGTATTTTGTGTTTGATTTTTTTTAATTCTCGACAAATCTGCACAAGAAAATAGTAATTGGTGTCAGGGCTACAATCAGTTGTAGACATGACAAAACACAAACAGAAATATGAACTAAACAAAGGCATATCATTATGATTGAAGCTGAATTTTTAGAGTTACAGTTAGAGCTGTACAAACTGACATTTCAAATGTAGGCATTTTCTCATATGCAGAAGTCAAATAGATAAGATTTACTAGCTGGGTTTTATGGCAAGCAAACAGGAGGCCTGCTGAGTGGTTCCTGGAGCTTCACACTGCAACATTTGGGTTCTAGGATATAGGGCTCTTCTTTGTGCAATATAAGATGGTGATGATTTTCACAAAATCAAATTTTTTTTCAGCCTCCTGTAGTAAGCTATTGCAGCTTGCATTTTTATTTTTTAAAAAATCTATATTTGGTAATGTAATTTTCA